GAATCTGGTTGATTCTGTAAAGTAAAGGTCTGTTACCGAATAATAGGGTTAGTGATACTAAAGCTAATGTTGGTTACTATCGAGTGTCACTTTTTTACTTGCTGTGATTTGTTGGTGTGCGTTGACAAAAAGTCATGATATCTAATCAAAAACACCTTAGGTGTAGCCAAAAAAGGTTTGAGTGTACGACTTCAAGGAATGAAATTAAAATTGGCGACCAAACTGGTAGCTGCACTTATAGTATTGATAATAATTCACTAGTTAGCTAGGCCGTGTATTTTGTTTTACCCACAATCATGACCCAAGTTGAACAAAAAACGCGGCCTGGCTAACTAACCAATGAATATTTTCTGTAAAATTATTATCAATACTATAAGTGTAGCTACCAGTTTGGCTGCCAGTTTTGATTTCATTCCTTGAAGTCGTACACTCAAACTTTTTTTGGCCACACCTAAGGTGTTTTTGACCAGATAACTTAATCCACGTCGAAATAAAGCAACCTAATACGTTAAACAACAATAACATAATATCAAAAAGGAATCCGACGTCTTGCACGACAGTGACGTAATCGTGAAACAAAACAGTCCCTGAGCTAATCTATAATATTTTAACATATTTACTAATCTATAATATTTTAACATATTTACTAATCTATAATATTTTAACATATTTACTAATCTATAATATTTTAACATATTTGCTAATCTATAATATCTTAACATATTTCACTGAACTAATTTATAACATTTTAACATATTTGCTAATCTATAATATCTTAACATATTTCCCTGAACTAATTTATAATATTTTAACATATTTCCCTGAACTAATTTATAATATTTTAACATATTTCCCTGAACTAATCTATAATATTTTAACATATTTGTTAATCTATAATATTTTAACATATTTGCTAATCTATAATATCTTAACATATTCCCTGAACTAAGTTATAATATTTTAACATACTTGCTAATCTATAATATTTTAACATATTTCCCTGAACTAATTTATGATATTTTAACATATTTCCCTGAACTAATTTATAATACTTTAACATATTTACTAATCTATAATATTTTAACATATTTACCTGAACTAATTTATAATACTTTAACATATTTACTAATCTATAATATTTTAAC